CCAGGCATAGATTGTTCTCTATATGTAGACGATTTTCTTATCTGCTATCGATCGAAAAGTATGAGAACAATTGAAAGGCAACTTCAACAAAATTTAGATAAAATTCAAAAGTGGGCAATAGAAAATTGTTTTAAATTTTCACAGTCAAAAACTCAATGTGTTCATTTTTGTCGATTGCGGAAACACCATAATGACCCTGAACTTTACATATCTGGTTCTAAAATTCCAGTAGTTGATAATAGTGCTGGCATCAATGATCCCGAAGGACCAGAAACATATAACAACACTGAAGTGAAGTACGGGGCAACTGTTTACAGCTTCCACACAACACTTGACACCTGCTGTTGTGAAGTATAAAAATCTGGAAACAAAGTGATCCCTTGAAAGCATTAATCACAACAAAATTACAAGAGAATTGCAGACTCGGTTTAATTAAGTCTGTACATGAGGGATAATGAATGTGTGTAACATCCCTCACGCTCCCTAGCACCGGCTTGAGCAGTACTCAATTCTCAACACTTAATAGTGCTGGCATCAATGATACTGAAGGACCAGAAAAATATAAAAATTCTGAAGTGAAGTACGGGGCAATTTTTTACAGCTGCTACACAGCACTTGACGCTTGCTGTTGTGAAGTATATAAATCTTAATATAACAAAGTGACACTTCGGAAGCATTAATCACAACAAAATTGCAAGAGCATTGCAAACTCGGTTTGATTGAGTCTGTATATGAGGGATAATGAATATGTGCAACATCCCTCACGCCCCCTTGCACCGGCTTGAGCGGTACTCAATTCTCAACACTAAATAGTGCTGGCATCAATGATCCCGAAGGACTAGAAAAATATAATAACACTGAAGTGAAGTACGGGGCAACTTTTTACAGCTGCCACACAGCACTTGACACCTGCTGTTGTCTGGAAACAGAAGTCTTATCCGATCAAAATTAGATTATGGTTCTGTAGTATATGGGTCTGCAAGACAATCATATCTTCAAATGCTAGATATCATACATCACCAGGGCTTACGCTCATTTAATACGCAAGTAGAATTTCATCTAATAGCGAAAATCCAGCTTAAAATATTATTTTCAAACCAAGTTATACTGAAAAATTTGTTAACAAACCAAAGGAAATTAAACCATTAGGCCTTCGTTTAAAAAAAATGATTTAGATAAACCTAAAATTAAACCAGACAATATCCTTCAAAATGACGATGAGGATATTCCACCTTGGACTTATAATTCCTCGAAAATAAATATTAACCTTTCAAATATTAAAAAGTCATCAAATTCACGTGAACATTTCAAAGAGAAGTTTCTAGCAATTAAGGAAGAACATGAAGATTTAATACATATTTATACGGACGATTCAAAAGACGGTTGCAAAGAAGGTGCGGCTGTGTTTGAAAATAATTTTACATTTAGTATGAAGTTACCAGATAATGCATCAATTTTTACTGCTGAAGCAAAAGCTATAGATTTAGCATTGTCATATATAGTACAGCATACCCATGATATATTTGTGATATTTTCATACTCGCTTTCTGTTTTAATATCCATAAAAAATCAAGAAAGATCTGACAATATCATGATAAGGAAACTTCTTTTACGATTTCATGATATACTTAAAACAAAACCTGTTAAATTATATTGGATTCCAAGTCATGTAGGTATACGAGGAACTGAAAAAGTAGATGTTTTAGCCAAACAATCATTACATTTTCAAAAAACTGACTTCTTGTTACCTGCTTGTGATTTTAGAAAGACTATATAAACTCGTATCATCTGAATGGAAAGCAAATTTGGACAGTGCCGTTTTCAATAAACTTCACGATATAAACCCATCTCTTGATGTGTCACCATCTCTATCTCTGTCAAACCGCCATGATCAAACAGTTCTTTTTCGATGCCGAATTGGGCACACGCTTTTTATTACTTGGGGACCATACGCCGCTTTTCATGGAAAGGCACGGAAGTGTCACATTGAAGGTTCCATGATAACCGCCGTATGAACACATCTGCGGATGTTTCTAAATTCAAAATTTTACTATTTCACGTTTAAATGTTGAATTCTGCTTAAGCCGGTGCTAGGGGGCGTGGACGGTAACTTGCACTTTCCAGTACCGTCCATGAACAGGCTCAATCAAACCGAGCCTGCAACATTTTCAATTTTGCCGTGTTGGGCTTTCTTTAGGGATTCTGTATTCATCTATCTTATCTCCTTACAAATGACAATGCCCCTTTCTGCGTAGCTTGTAATGAAAATTTTACTGTCAAGCATTTTCTTCTTGAATGTCCTGATTTTTCACAGGCCCGTAATAGATTTTATTGTATTAATTCACTCAAAGAACTCTTTAATACAATTCCATCAAAAAAATTATTTGATGAAAAAGATCAACTTGATCAAAAGATCAACATTTTCAATTTTGCCGTGTTGGGCCTTCTTCAGGGATTCTGTATTTATCTATTTTGTATTCTAGGATCTAATTGGCTCATTTTCATTGTCATTTACAAAGTTTAACATAACATTTTAAGCCTATTATAGTGTTCGGCACGATATGGCCAATTATGTGTTGACGTGCCGTAAAAATCTAAACAAACAAGAGGGCCATGATGGCCCTAGATCGCTCACCTGAATTATCAAACTCATCCAAACAATTACCTAGACAAGCATTCTGACCAAGTCTCATGACAGATGAGTCAAAAATGTGACCACTACAGTGTTAACAAGGATTATCCATATTTGAGCAGTGCGACCTAGTTTTTTACCCAGGTGACACATATTCAAACTTGACCTAGAAATCATCAAAACAAACTTTCAGACCAATTTCCAGGATACTTGGATCAAAACAGTAGCAACTAGAGTGTTAACAAGATTTTTCTATTTTTAGCTCCGGTGACCTAGTTTCACATGCGATTTCGAACTCATCCCAGCAATTACCTAGACAAGCATCCTGACCAAGTTTGATGATAATTGAGTCGAAAATGTGACCACTAGAATGTTAACAAGGTTTTTCCATATTTGGGCGGTGTGACCTAGTTTTTGCATCCAAGATGACCCATGTTCGATCTTGACTTAGAAATCATCAAAACAAACTTTCAGACCAATTAACAGAATATTTGGATCACAACAGTAGCCACTAGAGTGTTAACAAGATTTTTCTATTTTTAGCTCCTGTGACCTAGTTTTTCATCCGAGATGTCCCATGTTCGATTTATTCCCAGCAATGACCTAGACAAGTTTCCTGACCAAGTTTGATGACAATTGAGTCAAAATTGTGACCTAGTTTTTCATCCGAGATGACCCATGCTCGAACTCATCCAAGCTATCACCTACACAAGCATCTTGATCAAGTTTGATGATGATTGATGCAAAAATGTGACCGCTAAAGTGTTAACAAGGTTTTTCTATTTTTAGCTCTGGTGACCTACTTTTTCATCCGAGATGACCCATGTTCGTACTCATCCAAGCTATCAACTAGATAAGCATCCTGACCAAGTTTGATGATGATTGATGCAAAAATGTGACCACTAGAGTGTTCACAAGGTTTTTCTATTTATAGCCCAGGTGACCTAGTTTTTCATCCGAGATGACCCATATTCGAACTCATCCGAGCTATTATCTAAACAAGCATCCTGACAAAGTTTGATGATGATTGGGTCAAAAATGTGACCACTAGAGTGTTCACAAGGTTTTTCTATTTTTAGCTCATGTGACCTAGTTTTCCATCAGAGATGACCCATGTTCGAACTCATCCAAGCAATTGACTAGACAAGCATTCTGACCAAGTTTGATGATGATTGGTTAAAAAATGTGACCACTAGAGTGTTCACAAGGTTTTTCTATTTATAGCCCCTTTGACCTACTTTTTCATCCGAGATGACCCATGTTCAAACTCATCCGAGCTATCACCTAGACAAACATCCTGACCAAGTTTGATGATGATTGGGTCAAAAATGTGACCTCTGGAGTGTTCACAAGGTTTTTCTATTTTTAGCTCTTGTGACCTAGTTTTTCATCCGAGATGACCCATGTTCGAACTCATCCGAGCTTTCAACTAGATAAGCATCCTGACCAAGTTTGATGATGATTGAGGCAAAAATGCGACCGCTAGAGTGTTCACAAGCAATTGTGGACGGCCGGACGGACGACGGACATTCACCAATCCTAAAAGCTCACCCTGAGCAAGCTCAGGTGAGCTAACAAAAAAATAGGCAGGCAGGCAGACAGACAGACAGATTCTGTAGTCATGAGATATTTGGTTCTTCATTATTTTCACTGAAATGGTGGTTGATTTCGTACTAGGCTAAAAACAACTTATTATTACAATAAAGGTAATATTACTAGAAAATTTCATACAAAATGTTATAAATTCATCAAATCCTGTCACCATGAGACAAAATGTGTTAGGCAGCATTAAATCAGTTTGTAACTTTCTTCCTGTCATACATTGATTTTCATGGGTGAGGACTTAAGCAAATTACCACTTTCACCTATGAAAAGGATCAATCCAACATCCCTGGAACATTTGTCGTTTTGAATTTTCTTTAGGAGTCCTGATTTCTTTATCTATCATATGATATGTTTGCTTTTAGAATATCTGTGATAGGAAAATGTGAATTTGGTCATGATGATGTAATGATAAGCATACTGGAGCGTCAATTCAGATACCCGAAATTTATAGTTCGAATCAAGCCAGTTTCTGTGTGTCATTTCTATATTTGTTTTATTTTTCAAGCGCATTCCGAGCATTCTTCGAAAGCTTGTAAATTAAGACGTTTCGTGTTGTGATTATGGCTTTGCTCTCATCAATCTGAAAACCGACATCAATTGATTTTATACATTACAGTTTACAATTTTAAAAGTAGATTTTGATAACAAAAAGATTGGTTATTCACACTTTTACATTTGGCGAAGTTCAATAGAATGTTACTTTTGGATTTAAGTTTTGTTTTTCTCTTTTATCAATGAAAGTTGTTTTATTTCATTCATAAAAATGACAGTTGTCAAAGCAAAGCAACTTATAAAAATGTTAGTCATTATACTTTTGTGTTATTTATTGTCAAATATTAAGAAATCATTCCATAGAACTTTAAAAACTACACCACAGTATCCAGAAACAAGGCCAAATATTATTTTTATAATTGCCGATGATCTTGGATATAACGATGTTGGATATCATGGTTCTGAAATTAAGACCCCAAACCTTGACCAACTTGCTATGTCAGGTGTACGACTGGAAAATTATTATGTCCAACCTGTGTGTACACCGACACGTGGACAACTCCTAACAGGGCGATATCAGGTATAAAGTTGAAATTTTACATTTTGTAGATAGTTTGTAGTATGACTATTCAAAACAAATTTATTACCCGTTCAAAAAAGAGATGGTGCATGTCATGAACAACACCAAACGTTAAGCTTACTTCATATTCCAAATTAAAACAAAATTATTATAATCCAAATATGTCTGATCATTGTCTTTGAATATGAAATACGGACAAAAATAGAACCTGTCGAGTTCAAGGATGGTACTGGAAAATAAAACCTACCGTTAACGTCCTTAGCAAAACTCAAAAAATGTACATTGTAATAGTGAAGGCAGATACTTACATAACTAACAAAGTCATGTAAGCCTAATAAAAGACATTTCGAATTAATAAAGCTTTTTGTTATACATCAGATCTATACAGGTCTTAATTGGGTTTTATGGCCTGCGACTCCAGCAGGACTTACGCTTGACTACCCTACAATTGCAGACAAGTTGCGAGAGGCTGGTTATGCCACCCATATGGTAGGAAAATGGCATTTAGGATTTTATAAATCGGAGTACTTACCGACCAGTCGTGGATTCGATACTTTTTTTGGTATTTGACTTTCATATCTTAAGAAAGATTTTGTAACGATTAAATACAACAAAAGTATAACGTGACAAAATTGTAGATATATATGATGTTATTTACGAACATGCAAAAGATGTCTATAAAGATGAATTATTAATTCAATTTTAATTGGTCAATAAATTACAAAAATTACATGTTTGTGCATGTATGTAGAAGAGAACTAATACCGATTTAATAGAAATGATAATTTTAATTCCATTCAATCAGGTTTCTTAAGCGGGCATTCAGACTATTACACCCATATTACGGGAAACTACCAAAAGAAAACAATGATTGGTTATGACTTAATGGAAAATGATAAACTGGCAAATATAACACAGTACAATGGCTCTTACTCCACACATCTCTTTGCAATGAAAGTGAAAAACCTTATTCGAAAACAAGATATTGATAAGGTAAAATAGAGTTAAAATGCTTTCTTTATTTCTTGCATTACATCTCAACGAATCTAAAAGAGTCATTTTTCTGGTTTTGACGTATAATGCCTATATTATAACGTTGCCTATATTGTAACAGTGATTTGAGTTTAAAATTGGATGTTCATATGCTAATATTTTCTTCAATATTCTTTAAAAATTTCACTTCATTTTTTATTCCCTCTTAGATATTATTTACCACCAAATTTACAGATTCCGTAAGAATTTGCAACTTCATTCGACCTTTTTGATAAACCAAACCATAAGACAAAAACGGTTTTAATAATATTTGGCGGACTAAAACAGAAACCTTAAAATAATATTTTCTTATAAACTAGACACTTGAAATTGTGCAAACATATTTAGGTACATCTTTGAGTTAGCTTTCTTTGACTCCGAATTTTTCTAGAATAAATGTTAAATTAGCATTCTGCTAAACATATAGCATAATTTATATGGAATAAATATTAACTTCAGCCGATGTTCATATATCTATCGTTTCAAGCTGTGCATGCTCCTCTCCAGGTACCAGACAAATATTTTAACGCATATCCTCATATCAATGATTTAAACCGACGAAAGTACGCAGGTACTTTTCAAAAAAATTATCAAATTCAAAAAGAAATATGACATAACAATTTTTTGAAAAGATATGCATAATGAATTGAGTTGCGATTCTTCTGATAAGGATATGATGATCAATATTATTATAATGTTTAAATAAAAATGTTTCTTAATATATTTAGATAATATTTGATACAAATTTAACCTTTTAAATAAATTGTACTGTAAGGTAGATTGATAAATATTGATTTTCTTGTTAAACTCCGTTTGCCAACAAAGCTATTCCGTTTGGCAATAAAGCTTTTAGATTTTGTTTGTTTCATAAATTGATTCGCGAAAGAGCTTCAAAATAATATTGCAAATTTAAAAAAAATCTGTTACAAATCTTTCTTTTGTAATATGAAACTTAGGAATGGTGTCTTGTATGGACGAGGAAGTTGGGAACATTGTTGAAGCAATTAAAGAGCGTGGTATTTGGAATAATACAGTGATTATTTTTACTACAGGTATACATTCGTGTTATTGATTGGTTAAGTGTAATTTAAATAGCGGAAATTTTTGTAACTAGTCATACTATTATAACTAGGATTGTCACATTTAGCCGTTTAAATGGATATGCTCGAGTTATACCAAAAAACGCAACACAACAACCGGTAACCGATGAATGTAATAGACAATTATATTTATTTTAATAATTGCAATAATAGGTCAATATTCTTAAAATCCGAACAATACCATAGTTTTTAATAACAAGATATTTCATTTTATTTGAATTTCAGTTGTTTTCTCCATTACATGCTATCTGATCGTGTACGATAATGTCTTAACGGAAAATAGTTTCTTTATAATCGGACTTCTTTTGTAATTATTGTTGATACAACAAAATACGAACAGAATTTCAAATCTTGTCATGCAGAAACAAAGTTAATGTTGAAAATCTAAGAATTTTATTTATACGATCGGTTAAACGTTAATCACGGTTATTAGGTCGCCGTTTAAACGTTTATCATTTTTGCTGACCGTAAAGCCGCTAATCATAACTGAACGCATTATTTAGGGAACAAATATACAAGTTTTCCACTTTTGCAGAGGTTTAATCATAACAATATTTTATTGTTGAATTTCGCTTAATCCCTTGTTGTGGGCGAGGACAGTAACTGGCACTTTCAAGCACTGTCCATGAACATTCTCATTTCATTGGAGAATGCAACACTTTCAATTTTGCCAATTTTTACTTTTCTATTTCGACAATGTTTAAAACTAAAGTCCCAACCCTTAAGTTTGACATGTAGATTAAAAAAGCGTAAATGTTATCGATAGCAATAAAGCGCTTAAAGTGTATTGTTCTTTATGTTTTGATATTAAGATCTGATTATAAAAAGCAATAGCAACATATGATGAAGTGTAATTAAATGCTCCACTCATAGCGGCCTCAAATAGAATCACATTCAAAAGTATAAAAAAGCCTTTTTAAAATCTTTAGATTTAAACAAAGCAATCATAGCCTAATTTTGTTGCTATATCTAAATAGCCGTTGTCATAAAATAAAGTTCTATTTCTATTTTCCCTTATTTAACACTTGTTAAGATAATGGTGCTAATCCAAAAGTTGGAGGAAGCAATTGGCCACTAAAAGGGACAAAAAGTACCTTGTGGGAGGGTGGAATTCGAGCGGTTGGATTTGTTAACAGTCCTCTCCTTGGTTTTGGAGAAGAGGGATATATATCAAAAGAACTTATGCACGTTACAGACTGGCTTCCTACTATAACAAACCTTGCTGGTGCTTATTCAATTGCATCTGACATGTCAGACGGGATCGACCAATGGACATCTCTCAAGTAAATTGTAAATTTCAAACAGTTTTCCTACGGTATTTTAAATGGCTAAGTTTTAATTATGAAAATACCTGCTTGAAATTTAGTAATTCTGTTCTTTAAAGTAAATCATTATTGTCATATTAGTTTACTATTTTAATTGGGAGCGTTAAATTATAATACACAGTATTGCTAACGCTGCCATTTGAAACATGTTTATTAATCAAATTAAAACAAATTGTTAAGTAATATTGTGTAAACAGTCGATATTTATTGAGGCATAGCAGTGATTTTGTATATGACCAACAATATTACAAACATTATTCTTGCAATTCATGTACTACGATGAAGATATATATTTAGAGATGAAAGTCATGCATTCTTACGACTTAACTGGTTCACTTACTGCTCTATTTAAGATACGGTATTTCTACTAAAAGATATGAAATCCTGCACAACATTGACCCAGTTATCAATAATACTTACCATACCAGACGTTTTTCGATGAGAATGGGGGCGTGGAAAATCATACTCGGACAATCAGGTATCAACATTTTTTTTATTGAAAATTGATTAATTCGTTAAGTAACACATGGTCATTTTTCTTTCGTTAAATATTATTCTGATCATGATATCTTCAATTTCTGACATCATTAAATATAACTATTTTCTCTCTATTTAGAAAGACTGATATAGGTGTTATAAAATGAACTTAAATGAAAGAGAAAAAATATCAAAAACAGATAGCATTAAATTCAGGCAACATTTTTATATTCATTGAAGTCGAAGTACAATGAAAATTTTGTTTTATTTATTTATTTATTTATGTATTTATTTATTTATTTTTATTAATTTTTATACTCTTTATCATCTGTTTTAGGTTCTGAAAGTGATAACAAACGAACAAATCCCAAAATGCATTTGTACAATATTGAAAACGATCCGCGAGAGGAAAAAGATTTATTTGAAAAGTTTCCAAATATAGTCGAAAATATGCTAAAAAGGCTTGAATATTACGAACAAGGAATGATTACATCCGGCCTTCCTGATATTGATACAAGTGCAGATCCAGTACTACACGGTGGCTTTTGGCAACCCTGGAAGTAAATTTGAGGCGGAAAAGGAGTATTTACGTACTTATAACGCCCGCTCATATTGATACTTGTTTCATCTATAATAAAGATGACAACACCTATAAATATTCTTATGGAAAAAAATATAACAAGATGGCTTGCTCTCATAACGCCCATTGTTTTCTCGTTTAGGACACACGCATTCTTTTACTTGGTGACCATACGCCGCTTTTCATGGAATGGCACTACTGTGTCACATTGAACGTTCCATGATAATCGCCGTATGACCACATCTACGGATGTCTCTAAATTCAAAATTTCACCATTTTTCGTGTTTAAATGTTAAATTCTGCTTCCGGTGCTAGGGGGCGTGGACGGTAACTTGCACTTTCCAGTACCGTCCATGAACAGGCTCAATCAAACCGAGTCTGCAACATTTTCAATTTTGTCGTGTTGGATTCTGTATTTTTCTATTCTGCTCTCTGGGCAGTTGAATTAAAACTAAATCATATTTATGAACAATAATTTCAGTGTTGAAATTTGGATATTAATTAAAAGCTATTCCTGCAAGTATTGCGATAGGTATTTATTTATATGGACATACTTGATATACTAGTATACAATATTCTGAACCCTCATTAAAATATATGCATTAATATGCACAACAATAGGGAAATGGGAGACACATTTTATATATTTTATTAGCATAACTTAGCATGTCTATATAATTGTTGGAGGTTAGCTTTTTCGCTGTCATTTTACTTCGCCATAAGTAACGTAAATGTAATCATAAATAACTTAGGAAACCATATAACAAATTATATAGTCTATGCTTGTAACTATATGACATTGCCAATTTTTTCTGCAATTATTATCAAATTTCTGTTTACAAGAAAATAAACAGACAAGCCACACAAACACGAACGTTCAGTTATTAATTTTTTTTTTATTTTTTTTTTTTTACATTTATGTGCAACAATTTTAGCAATTTTGCTGTCTTTTATCGATTGGACTATCCCTATTGATAAACTGCTGCGGATGGTATCAAGATTTGATTTCATTTGTATTTTCCTATAAAAAACAGAAAACGGAAAATATTTGAAAAGCTGTAACTTTCCCGTTACTTGTCAGAAAATATAAATTTACCTACTGAAATTTTCCTTTCCTTTCTTTTTTTTTCTTTCTTTCTTTCTTTCTTTCTTTCTTTCTTCTTTCTTTACATATTCTCATATTAATTAAATAAAATAATGACTAAATTCATCCATTTTCAATTAATAAACATAAGTGTCATTCTCCTTTTCCTCAATTGTTTCTACGAAATGTAATTAAAACAGCAAAACGAACTTAATTGGTGAAAATTTAAAAATAAAAAAGGAATATACATGCTGACGTGTTAGATTTTTGTAAACGGGCAGTTTCCATGGTAACATTATATGCCATCTGACAAAATTACAACTCTTTCTTTAGAAATAATAATGTTATAACGTGTACAATTTTATTTATTCAATAAACACTAATTAAAACATTTTTTTTTTATTTCATACGAAGTAAAAAGTATCGATTTTTTTCTCTATTGACCAAAAAACGAAAGCAGAAAACAAAACGCATTTCGCAAATAAGTGAATATTTGGACATTTCTTTCATAGATTTTATTTTTTCTAATCAACATTTTCAAAGGCCGTGCCTCAAAAATGTTTTTTTTTTTTTCAATTATCAAAAGTTTTTAATTTTTTGTGTCCAGTTTAGTTTCCAAAGGATAACAAGTTTGTTTATTAACTTGACCATCTCTGAGTTAGTATTTTGTATGGAAGTCAAAATATTACTTTCTTTACATTAAGGCAACTAATTGTATATTCAGCACTTTTATCTATAATTAATCAGTATGCAAATATATGAAAATGTTGTATGCTGTCTAAGGCAAAATCTGTCTTTAAATATTAATGTTGTTATACTAATGCTAGTAGGAGGAATCATTTATCTAATTTTTTCCATTAATTTCTCTTATTTTTCTCACCCGTTCCCCTTTTGACGATTTAAAAGATATTCTGCATTGATTACTCATTTTCTTTTTTCCGAAACGTCTTTAAGACTCCTACAATTTCTGAATAGCAATGCATTTGAACATTTAACCACTGCGGCTATAATAACATGTCATTGTATTTCATAGACTCAATCAAACCAAGACTGCTATTTTCATGTAATTTTGTTGTGGTTAATGCTTCCAAGGGATCACCCTTTTTGCCAGATTTTAGTATTTCACAACAACCAGCTGTAAAAGGTTGTCCTGAACACTTACTTCGGTGTTGTTATATTTCTCTGGTCATTCGGGATCGTTGATTCCAACACTTTAAGATGATGAAAATTAAGTACTGTTTATGCCGGTCTAGGGTGTCGTGAGGGATGCTTCCCCATTCATTATCCCTCATGTATTCTAAATCAAAAACTGAGTCTGCATTTTTATGTTATTTTGTTGTGGTAATGCTTCCGAAGGATCACCTTTTTTCAGGTTGTTTTCCCTGTCGAATGTTATAGAAATGATTTGCATTAAAAAGAATTTGTTTTTTTCTTTTGTAAATAATCACCCTATCTATCTATGTATTGTATCGTCAAGCCTCCTAGCTTACCCCATTCTTATGTGTATTATTCATAAATATAAATAAAAGAATTTATATTTCGTCTAAGGCAAAATGTTGCTTCAAGAGTTGTTGAAACTACCACCAATAAATCGTGCCCCGTAAAATTTTCAGAAAACTGTAACTACACATTTTACATATTATTTTTTCAAATACAGCCGAACTTCAATAAGTCGATTTTCTCGATGTATCGAAGAAAAAAAAGGTGCGCTCCCTCCCCCGCCCTATATATTCTTAAAAAAACCTACGTATGAGTCGAAATTTTATGTGTCGAATTTGTCGATGTGTCGAAGTTTTTTCGTGGTTCGTATAGAATAAATCGAGTATTTACAACAAATAAGTCTAAAAGCTTGTTAAGTTATCGCCGTTTCCTTTTATCATGCCTTTTGTAACTTGCCTGTTAGCGTCAACAGCTCGAAATTAAGTCATTAAATTGAGACCGATTTATCAATCGAAGTCCCGAGGTGTCGAAGATTTTACGCAAGACCATTCAACTTTGAATTACCGAAGTTCTTCTGTAAATGTTTATCGTGTTTTACAGAATGTAATTACTATGTTTACTTACCATGCTTTAAGTAGATTGCACATAATATTGTAAGACTGTTGAGGGATGGACCTCAGGCCCTTAATTAATCATGCGACGGAGGCAATAAACGGGGTAACCTTCGGCCTTAAAATAAGATAAATAGAATTCAGGCTAATATATTATATGTATAGGCCTCATTTGACTTGTATATTGTTATATGTGCGAGAAGTTTGTCGTTCATTGCTAAAAAAAATCAATATGAATTTTGTAAAATCTATTAAAACGAATGTAAGCTTTTCATAATTTCGTGTTTTCTTTCTAGGTGTTTATATATTTATTTTTATTTTGTGTCAATTCTGGTACCTATAAACGTTCAGGTTGTTAGAATTTCTTTTAAGCATTTTCACAGTAAAATGTTGTATAACATTATTAGAGATCCTGTAACACATTTTTTATAGTTTGATATCATAACTATAATGCTAAAATAAAGATTTATCAATATTGTAAGTTCTGAAAAGCATTAAGCGGCGTTCAACCACCATACGACCCAGCAACAAGAACCAGTGGCAAGGAGCCCAGGTGGACCCCAAACAAAAACTATAAAGTTTAAGTCAAATTTTTAATAAGAAATGAATGCATATATTTTAATGATTACATTTAATGTGGACAAATATTTGCATTACATGTTTTACATATTATTCGATGTTTGAAAATTGTTTCAGAAGCATGATATATACATATAAAATTTCACTGAAGTGTGGTAACAACTTTAATTGCAACAGACAGGATCTTTAAAGTGATTTGCAACATTACAAAGTTTTGTGCGATATAAAGTCTGATATTTTATAAGGGCGGATTAGATTTTATGTTGGACGAAACTATGACCTGCAAGTACATAATAAAACAAATGACAAATAATACAATACCGTCTAAAATCCTGAAAACTATCATGTAAATTTTATTACAACAACAATGTTAAAAATACACATTAAGGAAATAGTAATATACATACAATTTATATCAAATACACAGTGTACCTAGTGGTATATTACTCATTCATCGATTAACAAAGTCAACCATATCTACATATCTCAATATTCTACGTTAAACATACAATTCTCAGTTGAAACAAAAAAAAAATGTTTGAATCATAAATACAATCCACAAATATATTGTTGATAATATCACCAATTTATGGCATATAGGCATAATAAATGCCTTTGACTATTTACACATACTAATACATATGGTCAAGACATACAGTATACATAAAATATACACAAATAACTACACATAATAATAAAAATTATGTGTGCGGGATTCGGGAATCTGACATTGTATAGATGTTAGGATATTATTAATCACTGTTAGAGTTAATACTGTAATTCTGAAGTACATGTATAATCGCTTTATGTCAATAATGAAATGAGCCAAAGAAACCATTTACTCAAATGATAACAACTCCACATATAGGAAAACCATACTCCCCGAATATTAATACATATAATTTGTGAATAATTTATTCCACATTTGATAATTACATGAATAAATCGATAATATGATTATTAAAATAAATGTCCTATTCTGATGGGTTGAATCAATTGAGTTGTATCTTAGGTTCGTTTGTGATCATTGAGAGAGAAATTATCTATCAAAACAACACGACTAAAATATATAAATCGCGGCGAAAAACAGAGCATAGCTGTTTTAGAAGTATACAGCCATATTGTCTTCATATACTGAACAATGAAGTTGCTTTTTTTCTTTCCTGTAGAACTTTTCACAAATCAGGGAGGATGCCCCCTTACCTCGTTAAAAGTTGTGAAAAGTGCTTGAATACAGTTACTATGATCTATGTTGCAGTGTAATTTATTCATGTTTAAGGATTGAATAAAAGCATTTCTGCACCCTAGTACGTGTACACTTCCTTCTAATACTATTATACGGCCATAAAACGTTGCAAACTTAATAATTAAACTATATTTTACTTTAGAATGAATCCATATATATTCAACAACTGCGTGTGAGATATTTTGAATTTTATTATATAAAAATGTGAAAATATATTCCATATTCATTTACACGAAAAACAAACTGAAAATCCACATGCTTGTAATACGTAAACATACATGTGACCGTCAATTAACACTAAATGAAATATGTTGCGATTTAAACTATTTATAACATAAACAAACCATTATTTAGCGACCAAAAACATTCGAATAACCATTCGAGTAATCGCAGGCTTGGTCAGTCTCGACATACACTGCATTCTACTAATACAAGTTCTAAACATCATTTTTTAAATCTGTGTTTTGTTTCAATTTAAACCTTTAAATGGAGTAGTATGATCAGTTCCAATCACTGACTATTCTCATCGACACATTTACTCTATATGCTCTAATATGCCGTCTTCTTGAGGAATTGTTACTTCTTTAAAAATAGAAGGAACGAAAAAAAGGCAACATACAATAATTATTTAAAACAGCAGATAAAAAGATTTAGCCATTATTTATATGTAATTTATTTATTATCCGTTACCCTAAGAACACTAACAAATTAAAATAGAAGTCACCTAAATGTCGTAATTTGATAGTAAACAGAAGTGTGTGGTGAATATATACGGAATAGGTTTAAGAAAAAAACATTAATCATTAGGGACGATATTAAATATCTGGAAACAAAGTGATCCATCGGAAGAATTAATCGCAA